CTTTGTCTTCAGTGGTTGTGTTGGGATGGTGAGCATCATAGAATGCCAATTTAATAGAAGAAAGTATTCTTGCATTGAGAGAGTACTTGAGTGGAGGCCCAATGTCCTTCTGCTACATTAATACTAAACCTATAAATATATGCACATAGATCTATTTCCCCATCCCCATATATAAACATATTTACATATGTACATGCCTTTATTTAGACCTCTATAAATTCCCTTTGCCTTTCCTCTTGTCCCACTATCATGCTCAGTCTTCATTTGGGTTTCAGTAATTCCTCTTGGTTACATTACCCTTGATCACGCTTTCCCAGGCCTCCTACACCCTCCTACATCACCGGTTTGGATCACTTGTTGTTCCCTTTTCCCTGGGTCTGTTAACACCACTACCTTTCCCCTCACCTCCCCCTCTCCCGTGTCCTCCCAGAACTGTCAGTCCCGTTGTTTTCTCCTCCAGATTGTTCATCCAGCCTATTTTATTTAGACAGACTTGTGGAGATAATAACATGCACAAAAACAAGACAGAGCAAAACTAAGCAACAATATACAACAAAACAACAACAACAACAAACCAATGATGAAAAACAAAACACAACACAACAAGAAAGTAAAGCTTGTAGTTAGTTCAAGGACTGTGTGTTGGCCTTTAGGAGTGTTTTCCAGTCCAATCTGATGGGGCGCCAAGCCCTGGCCCCAAAGTCCACCTTCGGCATTCCCTGGGGACCTTGCCACTCCATTCCCTTGCTGTTCGGTTGTACTCCCTTAGTGTTTTGCCTCAGTGTGGCGGGATCAGGTCGTGCACAATTCCCACACTGTGTCTCTGATGTTGTCCCCTCTAAGGCTATGGGTCAGTGAGGGACATTGTGTCTCAAAGTAAGGCCGGCCATATGGTCCTCTCTGAGGACTGGCTGCTCTAATCGGGAACATTGTGCTCATGGCCTGGTGGACCAAGATATACTCCACTCTCTCCTCCTCCCCCTTCATCTGCTCCCATGTGCTCGAATCAGATATGTTCCTCTCCCAGAGCTGCAGATTCAGTGCCGTCCTGAATAAATTCTTCTGGGGGGAGGGCAGGTGTCCACATAATAGTTGGGATTGGGGCTGGCCCTTCAGACCTTTCCACTGGTTCCCTACTCCACACCGGCATGTAGCATTCACATCCTGGAGCACTGGGTTGAAGTCTGGTCCCTCTTTCCCTGTGGAGATATAAACAATACTCTACCCTTGGGTGGGTTAGTGCCCTGTTACCCCCATTACCCATTTCTTTTTTATTATTATTTTCTCCTTTCTCCACTTCCTTTTTAGTTGGCTACCATATGTATCCCTGGATTTGGTCTGATCCCTGTCATACTACCTGGTCCTCGCCCCAGGAATGTTTGTATACAGTAGCTTTTCCCCTATGGCCCTTTTTACTTTTTTTTTTTTAAGCTTACCTCAGTGGACTCATGTTGTACTTGTCCTTTTGTGCTTGGCTTACTTCGCTTTGTATGATTTCCTCCAGTTCTTCCCATGCAGCGATGTGCTTCATACGTTCATCGCTGCTTTTTGGCGATGTGTAGTAATCCATTGTATGTATGTACTACAGCTTTTTAATCCACTCATCAGTTGATGGAAATATGG